ACCTTGAACTTCCCCAACACCCAAGTTCATGACACACTTTTAGGTCATAAGCAATCTTTGTGTTGAATGAGAATCTACCAAGTTCATCCATAAGAAAGATATGGAGCGGACACGAATTATGAAATTTTTAAGGAACTTCCAGTAACCTTGAACTTCCCCAAATGACATTGGTTCAAGATCATGACACATCCATAAGTCATGGGCAATCTTTCTGTGAAAGGAGAGCCTACGAAGTTTATCCATAAGAAAGATGTGGACCGGACACGAATTATGAAATTTTTCTTCCAGTGACCTTGAACTTCCCCAAATGACCTTGAGTCAAGGTCATGACACACCCTTAGATCATGGGCAATCTTTGTGTGTGTGGAGAAGTAGATTCTAATGTTCCTCATTAAGAAAGATATGGACCGGACACTTTTGCACAGACAGATGGACAGACGTACAAGCTGATTCCTATATACCCCCAATCTTCGTTTTCGGAGGGGTGGGGGTGGGTAATAAGGTATAATAAAATTGAATATTCCAGGGATCCAGATCCCCTTTGAACCATGCATGCCTTACCACAATTTGTTCAAAAGTAAACCGAAATTTACCCCAATTACTTTCGATTTCTCTCTCTATATACATGCATGTATAAATTTATTTTACGTATAAACATACATGTAGGTGTTGGAACCGGGGGGGGGGGGGCTTACAAAGATAGACATCATATAGGTAATAAACATTGGGGAGTAGATTACCCCCCCCCCTTTTCAGCAGGCATGTTACAGTGTAGTCGAATAAAGGTAAGTGGTAGTGTTTGAAAGAAAAAAAAATGGTACTGAAAGAAGTTGGATTTCATGTTTGGAACCCCCCCCCCTTTCAATTTGCTTCCGACACGAATGTAAAAAAAATCAAAATTCACCAGTATTTTATTATGACCCTAGACTCTTAGAGTTTTATCTCCTTTTTATAGACTTGATTTTCATGGCAATAAGCTGTCATACTTTGGTATCAGGGTTTGAAAAAGATTCCTTGTTACGTTTTAAAATACTCCTACTAATAAAAATTAACTTGTCTTTATGAGAATATGGGGAGTAACTTTAGTTATACAAATGACTTTGCTATTAATATGCCTTTTAAACAAACTTTTGTTCAGAAAAATAAATTATTAACTTAGAGAAAAATCGAACAGAGAAAAAGTAATATTCCTTCATCCAATGATACTTTGCAGCAAGTTAAGTTGAAATTAGCCCAGTGGTTCTTGATAAGAAGATGAAAATATAAAAAGTTTACAATGAGAACGACAACAACTGACAAGGCACAAATGATCATAAAAGCTCACTTGAGCCTTTATTTAAAAACATGTGTTACTATAAATAGAAATGGAAACCCACATTATTATGCATTTCGGTTACTGCTCTCTTGTACGTGTTAGATACATTATGTCAGTTACAGCTAATGAAAGTTTGACAGCAATTTCCTATCCCTAATTTGAGAAAATAGAATGATTCTACATTTTCTTGATAAATTGCTGAATGTCTATTTATAAATATACGTTACGATAGGTACATGTAGAAATGGAAAAATACCCTTGCACATTATTAAGGTCTTCCGTTTCCAACGGAAGACCTTCTACTGATTCTGTTGGTAAAGATTATTAGGTCTTTCCACCTTTCTGTGGAAAGACCTATTGATTTCCTTCTGTTTCTTCTTTTCCTTATTTTTTATTTTTTTTCCGCCGTGTGATTTTTTGTTTCAAGATTTATCGAAAAGATAACTATTTCATAAGAATGTACTTTGTAAAAGATTTTCGCAGTTGACCCTGCATAAACGAACTTGGACCCCTTTCGGAGTTATTACCCCTTTCGCAAAAAAGCTTGTTATCGCTACTCCTTCAAAACCATAAACCATAGAGAAATGAAACCTTCACTAATCTCTTGGACTAATTTAGAAGACACTTCATTGATATATTACAAAAGTATTCGTCGACCCTTTGAATGAGTTCTTGCCCCTGAAACTTTTTGAATTTTACAAATAATTCAAAATTTCCGAAACGACAAGTCGTAGAGATATGGGACCAACTGCTTAAGATTCATTGACCTTTGACCTTAAAATTCACGTAAAGGTCAAAGGTCAAGGTCATTCCAAAAATGAGAAATTTAGCTCTTTTTATATCTCTTTTGTCCTTAAACATATACTTAATGTCTATGCATCATTAATATGTACTCCTAAAACTGTTTCAAAGATTTCATTCTTGTCCCCTAAGATTAAACCTTTAAAAAGTTATTACCCCTTGTGCGAAAAACCTTGTTATCACTACTCCTCTGAAACCATAGACCGTGGAGCCACCAAACTTTCACTAATGTCATAAGGGTCTTAAGGCCTAACTTCACTGTGTAAGTGAGAAAGGATCTGATGACCCCTTATATGAGTTATTGCCCTTTAACTTCTTTGTACATACTATTAAACCTTATAACCTGAAAACTATCAGTCATAGAAGCATAAAGTTAATTGCATTGTGACCCTTGACCTTTGACCTTGAATATTTTTTAAGGTCAAAGGTCAAGGTCATTCTTTTTTTCTTAATTTTTATTTTTTCTATGCTTTAAGACAGTTTTGGTTTCTTTTTCATGGAATTTAACTTTTAGGAGTCAGATATAAAACAAATTTGAAATTCAAAGAAGGTGGAAAGACCTCTTATTGTTCTGTGAACAATAAGTCTCCTAGTTAGGGTCTTCCGCTTCCTTCGGAAGACCCTACTGTTATTCTACTGTTTCTTATTATTATTTTATTTTTTTTTTCCCGCTCGATTTTTGACATGCGATTTCTCAAAGACCTTTGGACTGATTTTTATGAAACTTTCAGGTTAGATACCTTGTACTTAAACCTATTTACACCTGTTTTCAATTTTTTGATGCATGCCTTTAATTGTGAGTTATTGCCCTTTAATTGATAATTTTGATGTCTCGTTTCCACTAAAAATCTCAAGAACGACGTAGGATATTTACACGAAAGTTGGAGAACTTGTAGCCAATACATTGTAGATGTGCAGAACGATAAAATTATAAGCTGATTTTCTAAAGTTTGGAAGCTATAAAACGGCAAATTTTAGTAATTTTTTTTCTTGAATTTTTGCTACTTTTTGTGTAATAACTTTTGAACCGAGAATAATTTGGTAAGAAATATATAACAAAAGTTGTGTGTAATTACGAGAGCTTTCATATTAGATTAATGAAAAGGGGCTGGCCCCTATAATTAGGGGTTAATAGCTCATACACGTTTTTTCTGATAGCTAAAAATATTGGTATATTATGAAAAAGTTTGACTGAAATAATTTCGAACTTATAAAATCTTGTCATTTGATATAAAAAGAAATAAACTTCCAGCTATATTTAATTGTTTTTTATATAAAACAAGTACATGTATGTGAGAAACCTTTCAGGAACAAGTTGTCTACTATAGCCAGCCAAGCCTTTACTGCATACATGTGCACATTTTTAGTTCATGCATCTAAAAGATATAGTTTTGATTCGGTGTTTCTTTGTTTTCTTTTTATTCAAATAATTTTAAAATGTGATGATGTACACAACAATAAATAGTACCTAGTTTAGAGGATTTTTTCGCGCTTGTTTGTAAACAACGCGCGGCATTGTGGGAAATAGGAAGGTACGGGTGCGTCGATTTACCCAAAAGGACCCAAAAGGACCCAAAAGGAACCCAAAAGGACCCAAAAGGACCCAAAAGGAACCCAAAAGGACCCAGAAGGAACCCAAAAGGACCCAAAAGGAAATCAAAAGGACTCGAATTAAAATATTATAATACATTGAAAATTAATAATTAGAATTAAATTATGAATATTATATTATAAATTTACCTAAAAATTGGCAAAAACATACATTTATATTGTTGCAACTTTTGAAAATAAAGAAATAACATACGACTTTTATAACACATCAATCATTAAATCTGGTCAAGTATGCTTTGATTTCTTTTAGCTGAATTTAACAAAGTGCACTGTATTATTCTATTTCTCCTTTGTTTTATTATATCTTATTATATGATATTTGATAAATAAAGAAATAAGTTTATTTAATGACATGTTCTAGGCATATGGTATCGGGGATGGGTGGGGGTGGGGGATGGGGGGGGGTCCTCCCACCTCAACCCAAACACGCACTTTACCCTAAAAAAAAAACTAGTTTTAGTTCTAATAAAATATGATATTATTCATTATATATCCATTTAATCTCTTTATTTCAAGTCCTTTTGGGTCGTTCTTAATTTCCTTTTGGGTTCCTTTTGGGTCCTTTTGGGTTCCTTTTGGGTCCTTTTGGGTTCTTTTGGGTCCTTTTGGGTAAATCGACGCACCGGGAAGGTACTAAAGACGCGATGTACTAAACACTTATTTGACCTGATTCAAATTTGTCTGTAAATGTTCCAAACAATTGAATTTTTGTATAGCATATGCCTCGAAGTCATAAAGTCTGTACATAAGTAATTTAAAATACTCAATATTACCATTTAATTAAAAATTAAAACGTCAGGTAAATATCAGGTCTCTAGTATATCCCGTTTTTAGTGTGCCCCTTCGAGTCGACGTCGGACACATGTTTGTCATGGTTTACAAACTGAAAATAGAATGATTTGTGAAGTTGAACATTTTCTCACAAAGAATCCGCTTGTAGACATGCACACTCATTTAATCTGGAGCTACGAAGTACTTTGTCACTTCTCTGGAACATTATTCTAAGCAGAATTATCCCGATTCATATATTCTAAGAATCTTGTGTGAATTGTTTACGAGGAAATTCTGACTGTCACATTAACAAGGATGAACACTCTTGACTCTGCTTCGGATTCCCCAGTGATAATTGTATCGAGTGATGAAAGAGCTGACGGCGACATTTTAATGTATGATTGGCTTGGACCATTGGAATGAAGGTTAGAATATTTTTATTACTTAAAATTTACACTACTGATTACATGACAGTGACGTACATTGATGTTATTAGAAATACACAGACACACCGATATATTATCTGTTTTACAGTTCAGACGCTCTCTGTTTGCCTTGTAAATCCCCACAGCTTTATATTTTATTTTTATTAAATTTGAGGATGTAATTTCAACAGTCCTACTATCTATCATAGTGATCATACTCTATAATTCAAACTGCACTTAATGTTACAGAATATATTCAACTAATTATATATTGACAGTGTGACTGTAAGGGTGAGGGCAGATACTTATTTAGTTTTAATTTAGATTACAAGTGCTTGTCAAGCCGCATTTGACATTTGGTGCATCCATGCTCAATGTTCACACTGAGAGTTTATTCAAATGTTTAATTCGAATGAATTCACTGCTCGTTAAATTACTTCCCATTAGCTCCATGTGAACATGAGTAAGGATATCTAATTCAAATTAAATAGAAATGAATTTTGAATGTAGCTTAAACATGTTAAAGAAGCTAAGCACTGTGTGTCCAAAGTATACTGCGGAAAAATTGTGTGGAGCAATGTGCAAGTCACAATCTTCTTTTGCCAAGATGTTATCATAAGAGCTCGCATTATGGGCAGGGATTTGTGCTGCTGTCTGGACTCGCTATAAATAGATGTTCTCAAAAAGTCTTAATTATTTAATATCATACTTTACTGACAAAAAAAGAACAAATATTGCTCAGTTAAATTGCAAAAGAAATTTGTTTAAAAAAATTGAAATAATAGAAAGTTTGCATTTTTGTTTGATAAGACTGCTGTAATGGTTTAATGTTTGTTTATTTGCCTTAATCATACATTTTTCAGTCATTTCATGGTGCCACCACTTGGGATGGTATTAGCTGCAAATATAGACTTGTACTCAGCACTTATTGCCTTTAAGAAGTATGAGATCCATTTTGTGCTAACACCTACCGTGACACAGAATCTTGGTTTATGCAGTCTCATAGGAGTAACCTGTCTAAAGCATTTAGCAATGGGATTGGAACCTGCAACGTAAGGTTCAGCTTCTTATTGATAAATACCTTTGTTATACTTTGATTTATAATATTTATTTGAGAATTTCACTCATTCACATACTTAGAGATGTTGATATATATTGTTGAATAGCATCAGTTTAGACCTTTAATTAGCTAAGTAAACATGTACTGTGAGGTTTTTAAGGTCTCATTCATTTTATATGCCAGATGCATGTTAAGGAACATTACTGCATAAATGTTTTTGTCTTAAATTTGAGGCTTTTTACTAATATAGAGATATGTTAGTTTTAAACCTCTTCAAATTAGGGTAGACCTTTACTTTAAACTCAGCAATGTGAGTGTGTTGTGTGAACTTGTGTTAGCGAGACTGTGTGTTGTATGAATTTGTGTTAGCAAGGCAGTGTGTTTTGTGAACTTAATTGTGTTAGCCTGACAGTGGGTTGTGTGAATTCTTGTTAGCTTGACAATGTGTTGCATAAACTCGTGTTAGCGGGACAGCGTGTTGTGTAAAATCGTGTATAAAGTGTAAGTGTGACAGTGTGTTGTGTAAACTCGTGTTAGCTAGACAGAGTGTTGATTGAACTCGTATTAGCGAGACTTCGTGTTGTGTAAACTGGTGTTAGTGAGACTGCGTGTTGTGTAAACTCGTGTTAGCGAGACTGCGTGTTGTGTAAACTCATGTTAGCGAGACAGCGTGTTGTGTGTATTCTTATTAACGAGACAGCATGTTGTGTGAATTCGTGTTAGCGTGACAGTGTGTTGTGTGAACTTGTTATCCTGGAAATTTGTCGTGTGAACTGGTGTTAGAGAGATAGTGTGTTGTGTGAACTCGTGTTAGCAAGATTGGATATTGTGTGAACTCGTGTTAGCCAGACTGCGTGTTATGTGAACTCGTGTTAGCGATATTGCATGTTTTTTGAATTTGTGTTAGCGTGACAGTGTGTTGTGTGAACTCGTGTTAGCCTGACAGTGTGTTGTGTGAAATAGTATTAGGATGACAGTGTGTTGTGTGAAATGGTATTAGGATGACAGTGTGTTATCGCAACAGCGTTTGGTGCGAACTTGTGTTAGTGAATAGTGAGACAGCCTGTTTTGAGAATTCGTGTTAGCGTGACAGTGTGTTGTGTGAACTCGTGTTAGCCTGACAGTGTGTTGTGTGAAATGGTATTAGAATGACAGTGTGTTGTGTGAAATGGTATTAGGATGACAGTGTGTTATCGCAACAGCATTTGGTGCGAACTTGTGTTAGTGAATAGTGAGACAGCCTGTTTTGTGAATTTGTGTTAGCGTGACAGTGTATTGTGTAAACTCGTGTTAGCATGACAGTGTATTGTGTAAACGCGTGTTAGTGAGACTGCGTGTTGTGTAAACTCATGTTAGCGTTACAGTGTGTTGTGTGAATTCATCTAAGCGTGACAGTGTGTTGCGTGTACTTTTGTTAGCTAGACAGTGTGTTGTATGAACTCGTATTAGCGAGACTGCGTGTTGTGTAAAACTTGTGTTAGCGAGACAGCGTGTTGTGTGAATTTGTGTTAGCGAGACAGCGTGTTTGTGAATTCGTGTTAGCATGATAGTGTGTTGTGTGAACTCGTGTTAGCCTGATATTTTGTTGTGTGAAATTGTATTAGCGTGACAGTGTGTTGTGTGTTAGTGTGACAGCGTGTGGTGCGAACTTGTGTTAGTGCGAAAGTGTTTTTCAGTGTTGTGATGGCGAGCTGTGTGATAGCCTAATGGCGTCTTTTGTGTCGGTAAGATGGCACGCTTTTATGAAAGTGCTATTGAGCTTTAGCAAGTGGCCCTATCTGGACACGCCTTATTATAATTGATCAGTTCTCAGATATACAGTGAATTACCGGTATTATTGTCACCATGAAATCAGCATTTACAGTTGCAATTACCTAGTTAGTAATCATAAGATATTGGTTTGTCAGTTTTAAAATTATGGTGTTCCAATGATGTGAAGTTGCAGTGTGTTAGCATGTTAATTTCAACAGACTGCCACTCCAATGCAGCTTTAAACAACACGCTGCTGTGTTAACACAAAACAAAATATCATGCAAACACAACTTTAAACAATCTGTTGAGTGTTAGCTTCACTGCATGTTGGATTCAGTGTGCTGGCATATTATCACTGACGTACATGCTAGCACATTGTCACATCGTGCTAGTATGTTGTCATAAATACTCTAGCACATTATCCTAAACCCACTAGTGCATGATTACTTTGCACTTGTATGTTGTCTTATTAGGGAATAGCATAAATGACTGCCTTAATTGGTGTAAACTTCTTTTAATTGATGAAAGAGTACATTAAAATTTACAAATTATACACAGAAAATGTGACAATATCTTATCTCTCAATTTGATAATCTAATTTATAATCTCATGAATTGCACTTTTTATTAGTAAAAGAATTATAGATTAAAAAATTTCAATTTCTTTTGGATAGGTGTGACTCATCTGAAGACTGAATTTTGATACCAAGCATGACCATGATTTGCCAGAAGATCATCTGTTTGGATGTGACATGGAATAAACAGCATAGTGAAAATAAGTCAAGTTTTGGTTTGTGAAGACAATTTTTAAACACACTGTGTATCATTTTTAAATTTTGATTTGACAACATAAATCCACAAATATGAACATATCAATTGCTCTCAGTTTTTCAAGTGAAATAGTTTTTGTAACAGAAATACATGTACCAGTAATTACATTGGAATAAATGTTATTTTTAAATATAATAATATTTTGTTTGTGTAGCATGTTGACCTCTTTATTAAGGTCTTCCCTTTCAAAGTTTAGACTTACTTATTCTAATGATTAAGATAGATCCTCTGTCTTCAGCAGGATTAGAAGATCTTGTAATACATGTATGTGTATTTTTTACAGTATAATGTAAAAAAAATTGTTATTTTGGCACATACAACTAATTAAAGGCATAAACATGTGTATGATTCCAAGGAATTCAGTACATAGGGCATGTACATGTAGTTTTCTAAAACAAGATTGAAGAGATGTCCAGTCGCATTTCAATGTCAACTGCAAAACTGTGCTGTTGCATATTTATTAGCCCATCTGAGCTAAAGGAACCAGTAAATTTTTTAAAAACATAATTTTATCCATTATCATCATTGTCTAAAATTTCACAATATCATTTTCCAGAACCAAAGTGAAACTTGGCACAGAGCATCCTTAGTGTAGGGGATTCAAATTGTTCTTATGCAGGGCAATACCTTCAAAGAGATTTGTTTCTTTAATGCTGTAAATGTATAATATTTAGCTTGTACAATATTTGGTGGAAATTGACTTTTGAATAAGTTAGCATAGATATTCTTATTTATGTTTATGTACAAGACTTTTAGCTTTGTACTTGATTTAGTGATTGCTGCATTCCGCCAAAGCCACTAAAAAAGAATACACAGCCATATGTAATATGTTTACAATATACCTTTCAGAGAATTTTACACTCCTATTGAGGTACCACCAGTTGCTAGTGGAAAGCTGCAAATTCGAAACATACACAACACATTTCTGTGCGTTTATTATAAAAGTATTGTTCTACTTACTGATTGCAACTAATGAAGATTGTTCATCATTATTGTAAATACATTTGGATTTTTTGAATTATTATATAATTTGTTTATTTTATTTACCTAGTTATATTGTATATTAAATGATTTTAAAGCCATTTTTAAGATGGTAATGTAGCAAAACACTTATGTTTCTGTAGTATGACACGTTTCACAAACATGATATATCCGATATCAAAAGTCATAATATTGGAAGTTAAACTGTTGTGGATACGATTTCAAGAATGCTGTTAGAGAGAGTACCCTTTAGACCTCATGCTCACACCAAATTAAAGATTTCAAGTAAGGGTTTCTGAGACAAATCGAAAAAGAGAATGTTAGCAAAGTTGACAATCTAGACAGAAACATTTAATCTTTTGCTTATCGCTAGGAAGGAAGACCCACTCGTTGCTTTGCAACGAGCTTTGCTCTAGTTATTCTTTTTTTTCTTCTGCTTCCTAGACCGCAACTTTGAAGCCTCATATCTCACTCATTTCTCAACGGATTTCGCTCAAATTTTCAGAGGTTATAGACGTTTATAAACTCTATCAGAACAATGACTAAAATTTCAAAAAGTCACTTCCGGTTTTGAGTTATTTCCCTTTAAACGAAAATTTATAGCCTTTCGTTTCCAGACAAAGGCTCAGAGACGGCTAAAGCTGGAACAGAAATTCTACTGATTTTAGATAATAGAAGAATTGAAGTTGTGCACATCGGTTTTTGTTTTTCGATTTCTCTATTCAAAATGGCGCTATATAGGGGTCAAAAATTAGAACGCTTAAAAGAACCAAAAATTACTCATATTTTGCTTTTTATCTTCTAAACTAAAAATATTTTGTTAAAATATATAGAACATAATTTGTGCAGAATTAAAAGATCTTTCAAAAGATATGTAGCAAAAAGGGTTGACCCCTAAATTAAGGGATCTAGAGGGGCCAAAAGTTTTTTCCAGATATCTCAAAAAGTATTGAGAATTTGTAATACATCAAAGAGCAAAGTTGTTGAAAATGTCAAGCTTAATCTAATGAAGTCGTCAAAATACGTCCAGCGTCGTCACTTCCTGCCAAACCGGAAGTAGTCGGAAAACGCGTATTTTTGCCGTTTTTGACAAATTTTTGGGCAACATATGTCTCTGGGAGCTAAAAAAATTAATTTTTCGTGCGTCGTCGTCACTTCCGGTCAAACCGGAAGTAGCAAAAATGGCTTATTTTTGCTTTAATTAACATAGCTTTAGAGGATTCAAAGCTTTTTTGGGCGTTATTTCTCATTTTTGTTAAAAATGAAAGCTACTTCCGGTCAAACAGAACGGAAGACCTACTCGTTGCTTTGCAACGAGCTTTGCTCTAGTTCTTATATATTGTTGTTAAAGCTTTTTCATATCCGTTAGTCACCTTCCGTCAATAACAGATAAAAGCTGTTTGTCTGCACATTGTCCATCTCTGATGTTAGAAAAAAGTGCAAAAGTCTATATTTTCTCGAGAATTTGCAGTATATCTATTTTTAAACATGTGTTACTATATACTGAAAGGAAAAAGGAACGCATATTTTACTTTTAAATTTAATTAAAACTATTATTTCGAAAATGTTTTCCAGTATTGTTATCAAACATTTTAATTCATCTTTAATCTACAAGTTACCAAAATCTTGTGTGATTTTGACTGATAGTTCCTGAGTTATTGAAATTGATATGTCGATACCCTCCAAAATTAGAATAAAAATTCTCATCATCTCCCTTGCACATTGGTAACAGCCTTGATTTTCCTGTGCATTGAGTTCACCAGAGCATTTATCTTTCTCATTTGATTATCATTCAACGCTTCCGACAATAGTCTTAATGGTTGATAGAAGCTGTATTATTCCAAAGCCAACAAATCCCCCCCGCCAAATGAGTGCCACGAATTTTCATTTTAGGATAGAATTTACAGAATCCAGCTGGTTTGGTACACGTGAATGTTTGTGAGAAAGTCTCGACAAACACTGGCTACATTTTCCGAGTGTGAACATGCTAAAAACATTACGCACACGACGCGCGTGAGAGTAAAATCGACGTAAAAGTTGCCAAGTTCGCGGACCAAATTAGAGCAGAGAATTTCTATCAATTTTAGGGTGAAAATATTGGTATGATAGTTTGCTGTATAAATTTCGGTTTCAGTGATAACACCTTGACAACAATCGAGGTGACATGATGAAAAGCCCTGTCTTGATGTGACGTTGTTACGCGTCAACGTCTCCGCCATCGTTGGTTGGAAACCTTTTAATTTACTCTCTGACAACTGAAAAACCGTTTTTTGTTGAAAAGTTTAAAACAAACTGCACAGCAACATCTTGTTGCCTTTTTATTCACTTTCGCAATTCTATTACTGGAACCAGTGTAACTTCCGTCAGCCATACCATGATTGCACAAAATTTATACTGATTTCAAATGCGGAAAACGATGTCTATTACTCCAATGCATCGATTAGCACCACAAAATGTGATCATAAAATTGTCATCATCAACAGGCACGTGTTTTTGGCTTTTTATCATTTCCCCTACGTGACGCCATACATTTCATGGTTGAGTAATTTTGACCAGCAATTTTAGTGCACAGTAATCAAAATACACATTTGACAAATTTTCATAATTTTCGGCCATATAGTTAAATATATTTCGATATTATGCTATTATGCGTTTCTTTTTCCTTTCAGTATATAAATAAAAATCAAAACTTATTCTTTTCATTCTGTATTTCATATATGCTTTCTTTTACTTGTTGGACACTATATGCCAATAGCAGTTAAAAACATATAGTCTGCAATTATTCATCCAAAATTTAAGAAAAAAGTACAAAAAAATGACATTTTCCCGATATTTTGATTGATTGATTGATTGTATACTGTTTAACGTCCCTCTCCAGAATATTTCACTGATATGGAGACGTCACCATTGCCGGTGAAGGGCTGCAAATTTATGCCTATGTTCGGCACTTATGGCCTTTGAGCAGAGAGGGATCTTTATCGTGCCACACCTGCTGTGACACGGGGCCTCGGTTTATACGGTCTCATCCGAAGGACCGCACCATTTATTCGCCTTTTACGACAAACAAGGGGGTACTGAGGATCTATTCTAACCCGGATCCCCACGGGGGTCCGATATTTTGCATTACGTCTATTTTTAATACTATAAATAGAAATGGAAATATCTGCTTCTCATTCAGTATTTGATATAAGGCTTTCTTTTACTTGTTGGTCACCATATGCCAATAGCAGTTAAAAGCAGATAGTCAGCAATTATTCATCCAAAATTTTAGAAAAAAGTACAAAAAATGACATTTTCTCGATATTTTGCATTACGTCTATTTTTAAACATGTGTTACTATAAATAGAAATGGAAACCTCTGTTTATCATGATGCATTCTATTAAATGTTCTTTTGTTCTTGTCAGTTACATTATGTCAGTTACAGTTAATGACAGTAAGTCGGTAAATTGCCCTTCTCTAATTTGAGAATTAGTGGAAAATCGACATTAAACAGTTAATTTCATATGTGTCTATTTTTAGACATTTGTACTATTTAAAGATATGAGAGCCTGTCCTCAATTATTTGTGAGATATTAAACTTTTCCTTGTTCTTATTGATGAAATATTGGAGAGATTCGTATTTTTATTATTTAAGATTCAGTGGAGCATCAAAATGATGGAAAATTGACATTTTTCAGCATTTTATGAGACATGTCTATATTTAGGCATTTGAAGCTATAAATAGAAAACGGAAATCCCTGAAAATAATATGCATGGTATTATCGGTGTCCAGTCTCTGACACTAACATTTTTACTTTTACAGTATATTTCATAATTACCTAGCAATGGCATCTTAAACTCTGCCCAAATTTCATTTTTTGGATTTTTCTTAAATATGTCTATTTTAGATATATGTTACTAAAAATAGCATTGAGATCCCACTCCATTTTTTTCATGTGGGGACACTACTAATACTGAAGTCTGACGACAAGCATATGATTTGAAAAATTTCCGTAGACAATTTTTTTTATTTAACCTTAAATTTCTCAAAAAAAGCCAAATTGTCAATTTTTCACATTTTCAAAAACTATGCCATTTTGCAGGACCATTTTCTAAGAATGGGGTTAATTCTGGAATAACTGATTATATGCCCTGTT